ACCCCTCCCAGCACCTACTTCCCCAAAAGCCCCAATCCTAAAGTCTGGACTCCGACAATGACCTCCAAAAGTCACATGACTTAATCCAAGCTCTCCTCCACACACACACACACACACACATTTACAGGAAAATAATGCTGTGCTTCAGTGCTGCCTCATTTTTGCCCTATTCACACACATTTGATCTTTTACCCTCTCTCACACCGGTCTCTCCTAATCTGTCTCTGCCCCCCCCCACCCTGATCCTGCAATCTTTCAGACACACACCATTTCAAACATGCTTCTCTCAGTTTGCTTTAGTTATAAATTATTCATAAAATATAAATATACTTTCAAGAAAATCCTCTTCTTCTTTTCATAACATCATGTCTATATTAACTTTGCTGACAGCTGACCTGGTTTCTAGCACATGAAAGTCAAAACAAGGGGTTTTAAATCATATAGTCATAATATGAAAAAAAAAAAACCTTAAATAACTGTAGAAAATAATCAAACTATTGGAACAGGAGTTATTTGGGGTTTTAACAGCGGGTACATTTTACCTAAAATTACATGCATTTCTCTAACATTACCTTGTGGTACATCATTTTCCCCAAAGCTAAAGGTTACAGGGATTCAATCACACCTCTGTGTGTGTGTGTGTGTGTGTGTGTGTATTTGTGCTGCCTTCAGTATGTGAGCGTAAAAATGAATTCATAAAAAGATCTGAAACATGTTTGCTTGCTGCCCGCATCTGTTTGACTGGTGTCCTCGTCCGTCCTTCAGCCGATGAGTGTGTGTATTTACATACTGCCACACCAGTGCACATTTCTCTGACTAACCCTGAAATGTCCCCATGTTTACACCACTGGAACTAATGACAGTGTTTCTACAATCCTTCAAAATTAACCCTTAAGGTCACCAAAAGACACACACACTTAGTTGGACTCACACACACACAAACACACACACACACAATGTTTTATAACCTGGAGGTTTTCTAGGACAGGGGTCTCAAACTCAGATGGACTGAGTGCAACCACCACATCAGTTAAGTTCAATACAAAAAACACCCAAGATGTACGGAGTTCATTGACCCTAAGTGGCCCCCGGGCCGTGAGTTTTACACCACTTTTCTAGGACATTCTGCATACCTACTGTATTTCTTTTTTTTTTTTTTTTTAATTCTCTCTGGTCTTCCCGTACTTGAACCAAAAAACTCTGTTCCCGGACAATGAGCTCTGTGTCTCAGGGCAGGTAGAACTGAACCAGCTCTAATAGAAAGAGAACAGGAGGAGCTTTTTTCCCCTCCGGAAAAGGTTTGACAGGGTATTTCCGTTTCACAGAGAAAATCTTGTGATAATTATGTGAAAAAAAAAACAAAAAAAAACAAAACTTTGGCTTTGTTAAACCTTTGGTCAAGTGTTCAGAAAACAACATTAATATTGGTAACAATAAACGTTGTGGTATATATATATATATATATGAATAATGCTACAGACATATGTGTGCGTCAGTGTTTAAGCAGAGCCACCGCTGACTTCATGAACAGATTCCCTTTATATTTCATTAAAATGCTTCATAAAAATCTCAAAGACCCAGACAATGTTTGAAACAGTGGTACATCGGAGACGATCCTGCCAGATTCATGTGATCAGTGTTGGACCATGAAACCTTTCACTGAATTACAGCACTGAGAACAAGGTCTTCAAAATCTCCTCGGCTCTATTAACATAATAGGACATAAACCATTTCCAGTTTGATGACTTCACCCCCCTGAACATTCACAGCCCTTTTATCTGTAACTACCACAAAGTTGGAAATAATTCTCTTAAAATCTGAAAGAAAGAAAAGAGAGGATTTTCTCCTATCTGCTGCCTGAGTTCATCCTAATACCTTCACTTTCCTGTGTAAATGCATTATAACAGTATTATTATGTCTATGATATCCTTTCAGACTCCATTTACAGAGACTAGGTGCAGTGTTTTTAAGGCTTACACGGACCCATTATGTCATTAAGCTATTATGAGCCGGGACAAAGAGAAAAATAATACTCATAAACAGGAGCTACATCAGGTCCTGTTTAAATCCATACACTCCCTACAGTCTGCCTCACTGTCTATTTGTCTGTCTGGTGTTTCGTGTTACACCAAGTTTTTCTTCATCCCCGCGGAGAGACAAATGTCTGAGACCATTTTTACTCAATAACCTGCATGTGTTCACAGTGAGTGACTTACCCCAGAATTGGGATAAGCTGTCCAGCCCAGTTCAGCCGTGGCCACCCGGGTGTCCATCAAAGTCTCTGCAGCAGACAGAAAAGAAGAGGGGGAGAGAGTCAGTGGTTAGACTAGAACAAAAGCTGTTCTGAAAATCACTCCATGAACTCCATTTAGAGCCATGATCACTTGACACTATCACTGATGAACAGAGAGAAGAAGAATCCTCTGCTGTTTTGTCTTCCGTCTCAGCTAGACATCTGTGAAGAGCCGACATGGAAACAAAGAAGGAAAGCCTTCAGACACACCATCGTCACGTTGGTTCACGTTGAGTGTCGTATTGTGTTCTCTCAGTGGGAGCAGGAACCTACAGTGAATGCACCCTGTGTTTGTTTACATGCATGTGCTGGAACAACAGTTGTCTGGGACAAATTATACTGTTGCTTTGGTGAGCACTTGAGATTTCACTGTATGAATGCATTTACTGCATGTGGTTGTGTGAGACTGTTGAACCAGGTTGCACTGTTTACACCAAAAAATAGTGAGTTAGCACCGAAGGCTTAAACGGTCTTGTTTGTCAATTGTTAATGTATTTAATACTAATTACTAAAAAGAAAATTAACCATCCCCCTACTGTTGCCAACTATTACCATTCCCTTAACATTTACCTTGGTCCAGAACCAGCTCTTACACTTAATTAATTACTAAAAAAATCTATTTCATTGACTTAATTAATGAAGTGACTAAAGTCAAATAATTGTAAGTAGATTATATGCTGTTATATACTGTGATTTACCTGCAGAAACTACACAGAGCTGAATTCTGTCAGTGCCAACAGCAGTTTTTTTATGTTTTTTAGTTACTTTAGTCCCATATTAAAACAAGATGTCTGCTCTGGCACCATATGAAATATAAGAAGAGAATAATTACACCCCTCCTTTGCTCTTTCCCCTTTTAATAATCCTCGGGGAAACACTGTAGACAAATAAGTCTGGCAGTTCCCCCAAGAACTTTGTCATCCCTGTATTGATTCATATCTGCCTGGTTGGCACACTGAAATCTGGGAACTCGATACAGCTCCAGGAATGAATACAGAGGAATGACAGTTGTCATTTAACACACGCCTCTCCCTCTCTATCTCTCCCTTGTTTTCACACATACAGACAGATTTGTAACCTGATAAAGTAGGTGACACATTAACCTCAATGTCATAACTAGAGATTTGAGAAGGAGAAGCGAGTTCGTTGCGAGCCCGGGGTCACGACATCGCTCAACAACTGCGTCTACTGCAGACGAGGAAATGAAAAGCGGGAGGCGGGAGGCATCATGTTGTTCTCTGGGTGAGGATCTTTAGATAAGTGGGATGTGTGTAAATTATGAAATTGCAGCTGCTGTGTCCAATGTGGAGCTGTAAACGCAAAAAATGTCAAGATCTTGTGATCTCTCAAGGTAAATCATACCCATTACTTAATATAAATAACCCTGTTATTATAGATATGAAATTCTGTTGATTATATATTAGGTATTTATAAATAGATAGAGAGATAACATTAGCCACTGTTCTAAGAGAATTCCCATACTTTCTCTAGGGAAATCACCAAAGTCAAATCACACACAGACAGTCATGGACCATTTTAAAATCCTGGGGGGGGGGGGCAAGGATGGTAAGGGCAGGAGATAAAAAATGGTCAAGGCTCCTTGAAGGGGGTCTATGAGCCATGTCCTGTCACAAAAACCCCGCCATTAGCTAAATTGCAGAATATCAGATGAGCTAACGGAGCACGCTAAGTGTCTTTTAGTGCACAGGGCGGGGCTCTCACACCTGTCCAATAACACTTAGCTTTTTGGATGAAATCCCTTGGTTAGGTCAGTGTGAATTTTAAATGAGTCGTTAAACAGACTAAGCACTATCCACGTCAATGAGGACAGATGACTGGTTAAAAATTTAAGAGCCACAAATTGGATTTCTTGCTGAGATTTTGACTAACCCTCTGACCGAGGCTTAAAATAGGAATAAAATCATTACTGTTCTTCACAAATGCAGAGAAACTGTATGTATTATGGAGATTGGACAGAAGAATATGCTGTTATTATAATATTCTATTTGAACTAGCAACATAAACACATCTTTTCCTCCTACCCCTCCTTAAGTAACCCAAACACAGGGCCACTACTTCACCCAGATAATAAAACTCCCATAAAAACAATTAGTCCTTCCTTTGCACGACTTCCCAACCATGCATCTCCTGACCCTTTTCTCTCCTTTTGGTTTTAAGCAAGTCATTTGGAAAACAAGGTGAGATGGAGGCTCGCTGCAGTCCCGTGTGATTAGAGGTATAACAGCCCAGAGTGTTTTCCCCTGCATTCATATTCTGCTTTGTCAGCTGAACCTGCGAGCTCCAATAAATTTAACACCCCCAGGTTCACAAGCAGTTCAGTCTGTGGGAAAATTATTAACATGGAGAGCCTAATGTTGACCATGTTACGACGGCTCATAAATCTCTGAGAAAACAATAGCTTGTAGGTGTCAGCGCAGCCAGACTTAAATGGATTCAAAGAGCCGCAAGGCTGAGGGATGTCTTGTGACTACAATGGAGAATATTAGTAACTCTGAATCATACATGTGCCGTGCGTTAGGTCAGTGTGCGGAGCTCGCCAGGGTTAAGCCTGTAGTAGTCAAACTGAAAAAGTTGCAAGTTGAAAATGAAACCAAGGTCTACATCTTTAAATCCAAGAAGGCTCGCTCCTTCTCATTAGCAGCCAATGATGGATCAATAGAAAATGCAAGGCTGTTTCCACAGACGGGGAGGGGGATGGAGGGAGGGAGAGAAATGAAGGAGAGAGAGGGACTGCATTAAACATTGATGGGGCTCTACGTTACAAATCGATAAGGCAGCCCTCTTCACACAATTACACGTCAGCAAGAAGTTGCATGATCCATTGCGTACACTGGCCTGATCACATACTAATCACACGAGGGCCACAGAATATGGACAAAGAGAGTTCAGAGAAGAAGACTGAAAAAAAAACAGCAGGAGAAAAGAATATTGTAATGATGCCACGTCGTTCTGTGTGACCACGTCTGTGCAATTTACTCTCTTTGTGGCCACGTCTGTATGACTGTGTGGCTGCTGGTCGATAGAACATGTGCTGGAGCACCTCTCCAAATCTCCATGGCTTCTCAAGTCAATACACGTGGCAATTCTCCACAGATTTTCCTCCCCCATCCCTTAACACATCTTCTACATTCACCTATTCGTCAATTGCCCTTGTTCGTCCTCTACTGTTTAAAAATGCTCACGCACTTTTGCAATTCAATGGGCCAATCATGACCAGATGCAGAATGCTGGTCTGAGAGAGAGAGAGAGAGAGAGAGAGAGTGAGCCTTGTGTTTGTGACACACCAAAACTTGATCTGAGGGTTTTAAGGAGGGTTTATCTTCAAAATGGAATTTGCAATAGATGTCCAACAGG